ACGGGGTTTCACCATGTTGACCAGGATGGTCTCGATCTCTTGACCTCGTGATCCACCCGCCTCGGCCTCCCAAAGTGCTGGGATTACAGGCTTGAGCCACCGCGCCCGGCTTAAATTACATTCTTAATGTTGTTAGCCTCCAGGAGCTTACGCATTTTTCTTCATAAGGATGTAATCACATAGCATGTTTTACAGGGGCTGATGAATCTAGATAAATACACCTGACCATGAATTGATCAGACTGTGAAGGTCAAAGGATGATGTATGGATGACCCAATCACAGCAGAGTGGACTCTATTAAAAAGATTTTAGGCCCAGAATCATAGGAAATCTGACCTGACAATTAAATTCTTCTGTTCTATGGCTCCTCATGTGGATAGCTGAGTACGGACAAAGGAGGTCAGAGAGTTGGAAGCGCATGCCCAGCATGAGAATTCCCGGAGCCCAGTGATGCCAACTTTGTCATTAAAGCACCAGGAGTCAGCAGATGGATGATGTCACTAAATGGTGAAATACTGAAATATGCATGATGCCTGACAAATGATGGAACTCCACACCCCAGAGGAAACCTTGTCTATCTGAGACAACATTTTTGAGACTTGATCCCCCCTAAAAAAAAGTTTAAAATGTATGGGCCTTTAAAAAAGCTAGAATCTAAAGTATAACAAAATGGCCTGATATTTAAGGAAAATCATGCATATCAAACTGACAATTTAAAAGCCCAATAATAAAGTATTCACCATGTTTACTTGGTGCTCACGGGTTTCCCTTTTTTTCATCCTCCTCTGCCCATTCTGCAGAGCAAATATAATCTCCTTGCTAGGAATAATTTGTCTCCTACCAATGAAATTCTTACTATTATTGGTAGGCCTGAGTCTCAGAAATCTTGGAGGGAACTCGCTCAGTAACATTTGTGGTTTGTTTCAATTCCACTTTATGCACTTTGTAGAAATTTACTTAAAATAAAATTCACTCTTTTGTTTACAGTTATTAATGCAAATAGCTGTATAATAACTGCCGGTATTAAGACACCAAAACAGTTTTTTTCCCCAAAATATTTCCCAGGTGGTGCCCTTTTGTAATCAACCGCTCCCACATTGCCAACCCTTCGAAATCCTGATTTGTTCTCTGTTTCTCTAATATCAGCTTTTTTAGAATGTCATGTAAATGCAATCAACATAACATTCTGATTTTGACTTCTTTACTTAGCAGTGCGTTTAGATTCTTCCTTTTTTTTTTTTTTTTTTTTTTTTTTTT